TGCAGGGTGTAGCATGAGTACAACCAATTCAGCAAGTAACATAATTAAATAAGGAACTGAGAAGCAGTGACGAGCTATATAAAAATAAATACAGTTCATTTCAAAAGTTTTTTGTAAAGAGTGAGCATGCTTTCAATTCTGGTGGTGTAAGTCAAATCAATTCGAGCTCAAGTAAAACAGATATGAATCTTCCAGAAATTTCACCACAACAACAGATAACAACTAAGTGCAATAATAAATAAAAGCAAGCATAGCCTCTCAAGGCATCAGTCACTCAACTCATACTCTCGGCTCTCAGCCTTCAATACACACTCTCAATAGGTACTTGCGCTCACTAGGGGTGTGCAGACTCTGGAGGGGTTCCTTTCAGTCCAAATGCTATATCACTGTGGCGTGTAGCCCGACCCAATCATATAAGTAGCCATAAGCCTCGTTACGGCGTGCAACCCGATCCATATAACCTCACATAGCTCACAGCTCGGCACTCATGCGCTATCTCAGTCACTAACCTCTCCAGTCGCTCGGGCTCACAAAATATCATAATAATCGGCCCAAATAGAGAATACAACAAGTATAAACAAGAAATGAGAGGGAACAGAGATATAACACACGAGTAGGACTGTGAATGAGTATAAAGTAACAATTAGCAGTCAATTCAACAAGTATACAACCGATGCGGGTCCCAACAGTGATATCATATGGCCTAAGCATGGTTTCTAACATGAAAGGCAGTCAATTACTCAAAGACAAGGAAAAACAAGTAATAAAAATGGCTATTTGACTTTACAGTCTCACGGGACGGACCAAGTCACAATCCCTCATGGTGCATGCTCACAGGCCCATCACCTAGCATATGCGTCACCTCCAAACACTCATATCATACCAATCCTCGGGGTTTCATACCCTCAAAACCAAATTTAGAAACTATTACTTACTTCAATGGCGTAGAATCCTACTCCGGAATGCCCTTTCCTCTCGAATTGGCCTCCAAAAGCTCCAAATCTAGTCACAAATAGTACAACACCCTTACAATGGTTTAAGGGATCAATCCCACAAGAAAGCTATCAAATTAGACCCAAAAATCCGAATTCGGCTCAACCCGACCACCCGGGCCTACGTCTAGAAACTCGACAAAAATCACAAAACTCGAAATCCCATTCACTCACGAGTCTAACCATACTAAATTCATCAAAATCCGACATCATTTGGTCTTTCAAATTCCCAAAATCCACTCTTCAAAATCCCAAGCCCTGGACCCCCAATTTCACTCCAAAACCCCACTAATTAGGTGAGAAATCAATGGAAAAACACCATAGCTAAGGATAATTAATCTCGAGGAACTTACCTCAGTAAATAGCCTTGAATTTCCTTCAAAAATCACCTCAAACGCTCCAAAGTCCGAGTTCAAAATTTTGGAAATGAAGAAAAATCTTGAAATCCTCTATTTATATATTCTGCCCAGTGAAACCGCACCTGCGGTCCCTTTTGTCGCTTCTACGACGCCGTATCTGCGGACCAAGCTCCGTTTCTGCGAAAAGTCACTTAAAACCCATGGACCGCTTCTGCGACTCTCGACCACATCTACGATCATCGCAGGTGCGGAAACTACTTCGTACCTACGGATTCCCTCTCGCACTCGCACATGCCTGCCCACATCTACGACTCTTGCATGTGCGGGAATACCTTTGCACCTGCAGTTCCTGCCCAGTTCCTCCATGGACGCATCTGCATCTCCTCAGTCGCTTCAGCGGGCTTACACCTGCAGCTCCCACTCTGCAGGTGAGGAAGATACCAGAACCAGCAGCTTCAGCTGCATTTTCCAAGTTCCAAACCTTCCGTTAACCACCTGGAATCACCCCGAGGCCCTCGAGACCTCGACCAAACATACCAACACGTCCCATAACATCATACGAACTTAGTCAAACCTTCGAATCACTCAAAACAACATCAAAACACCAAATTACCGTCGGATTCAAGCCTAAGAACTTCTAAACTTCCAAATTCCGCAAACGATGTCGAAACCTATCAAACCACGTCCGAATGACCTCAAATTTTGCACACACGTCAAAAATGACACCACGAACCTACTCCAACTTCCGTAAATACATTCCAACCCCGATATCAAATTTTCCACTGCCGACCAAAATCACCAAATTTTTTAGTTTTGCCAATTCAAGCCTAATTCTACTACGGACCTCCAAATCACATTCTGGACGCGCTCCTATTTTTAAAATCACTTAACGGAGCTAACAGAGCCATCAAAATTCAAATCTGAGATTGTTTATACATAAGTCAACATCCGGTTGACTTTTCCAACTTAAGTTTCTAATAAAGAGACAAAGTGTCTCAATTCACTGCGAAACTACTCCGAACCCGAACCAACTAACCCAACATACCATAATATAGCTGAAGAACACAAAAAAGAAGAAATGGGGAAAACGGGGCTATAACTCTCGAAACGACTGACCGGATCGTTACAAGGAGTCACTCGCGAAGGCCTGGGCAGTTGAGCTTCGCGTTCACGTAAGGTAAACTGGACCTGGGAAGTGTTGACCTACGCGTTCCTGAGAGTGGTGTTGTGTTCGTGATGGTCAGGACTGGAAAGGCATCGCGTTCGCCAGCCCCTCTTCGTGTTCGCGAAAGAGAATTTGAAGCTGAAGCTGAAGCTGGTTGTGCTTTGCGAACGCGAGGGCAGTGCCGTGTTCGCGAAAAAGAAGGGTGTTGTGGTGGGCAAAATGTTTTAAAAACAGGGTTTGGGTTCATTTCACCCATTTTCCACACGGCTTGGGCGATTTTGGAGCTCTTCAAGGGAGTATTTTCACCATCTAATGCAAGGTAAGTGATTCCCACCTATTGCAAGTTAAATACTTGGTTTATATACAAATTTAGGCTTGTAAATTCATGGATATTAGTAAATTTTGGGGTTTTGAAGAAAAACCTAAAAATTGGTATTTTTAGATTTTTACCACGAAATTGGACATGAAATTTAGAATAAATGATATAATCGAGTTCGTATTGTTATGGGTAATGTTTATCTTCAAAACATTTCGGAATTCGGGCAGGTGGGCCAGTGGGTAAATGTTACCGACTTTTTGAGCGGAGTTGAAAATTATTTAAATTGATTAGTTATGCGTATTAGAACACGTATTGATTGAGTTGCACATTGTTTGTATAATTTTTGATCGACAAGTATATGTTTGAGGTGTTAGAGTGGCGTTGGAGCCGACAATGAGGCTTCTGAGCGAGGTAAGTCTCTTGTCTAACCTTGTATAAGGGTATTTACCCCATAGGTGTTGTAAATAAATATATGCTTCAAATTGTGGGGGCTACATACGTACGAGGTGACGAGAGTCCGTGCATAGCTACTATTATGCTATTGTCCAGGTAGTTTTAGGACCCAATTCATGAACTATTTGGAAATTCTCGCACTATACTTGTGAAATTAAATTGTCTAATTTTATTAATTTTTGTTGGAGAAATTGTGAAAGATTGCTAATGAAATTCGTATTATTTTTTTATAAAACCTCATTAATATTTAAGTCAAATGCTTATAAAATATTCCTTCTCTTTTTGTGGAGCGGGCCGAATGCCTCAGCAGTAGATAGATGCATCTATGGATTGTGTCGCACGTCCTCGGCAGTGTACCCGACACTATGGATTGGGTCGTACGACCTCGATATAAATCGTGCTTAATAATAAAAATTACACGATATCTTGACATTTTATTGCAGCTTGTGAAGATAAATGGTTTATTGGAAATTATTGAATTCTGAAAGAGTTATTTATTTCCGCTTGTTAAGAAAATTATAATTATTTAATAAATCATGTTTATTTAAATACTCCTATTTTAATATTTTTAACCCATAATGAGTGTCAAAGTCGACCTCTCGTCACTACTTCTTCGATATTAGACTTGATACTTACTGGATACACATTGTTTACGTACTCATACTATGCTTGCTGCACTTTTTGTGCAGGACCTGAGACAGGAACTTTAGGCGGTCCTACCAGTGCACCCCCGCGTTATCCCGAGGCTTAGTGATGAGCTGCCTTTCTGAGTTGTTCTGCAGCAACTAGTGCCTCTCTTTGTATTTGTATGCCGTCTATTTTATATTCAGAGAGTATTTAGAATTTTGTAAAATCTACTAGATGCTCATACAGTTGTGACATCAGGTCTTGGCACACACACTAGTAGAATTATTGTTTGAATTATTTTCTTGATTTTTATTTAATCAGAATCCATTTATATTTTCTTCAATCTTGCAAATAAGAAGAGGTTAATTACTCAAAAATTTATTAAATGAGGAAATATATTTTTAATTCACTAGTTGGCTTGCCTATCTGTGATGTTGGGCACCACCATAACCTATAGGTGAAATTGGGTCGTGACACTGTTACTTCTGTGTCTCTCTTTGTGAGGTTGCTCTCTCAATTTTGTCCTCTCTTTTATATCGTGAATTGCACCTCTCCGCATGTGGACGTAAGTAGGTCAATTGATCGAACCATGTTAAATATTTGTGTTTCTTTTGGTATATTTCTCTTTTGTTGTCTGATTTATTGTCGTTCAATATTTGCTTTATTAACTTCTGCATGACTGATTATTTCACTCCTAAATCATGTGAGGGAGTAGGGGAAAGTCGGCTTAAGATAAAACATGTTTGGGTTTTGGGTTAATTTGAATGGGTCGGGTTATTTATATATTGGGTCTAATATCCACATAGATCAATAAATTAGTGTCAGTTACTTAATTAAAAACCCCACATATGCCATCTCATAGTGCTGTTAAAGAGTATTTTTAATTCAAAATAAATGTTAAGGGCAATTTTGGTTTAATAGGTGGAGTTAGGAAAATTTTAAGCATTTTAATATGGATATTTTTGTCTCTTTTCGGATATTTATGTAAAGATCCTTTTTTTTAATACTATCAATGCATGGATGTTTAGCTCTATTTTAAAATAAAGAAGAAAGTTAGAGACCATCCCTTTTGAGACGAAACCTAGTTTTTCCAACAAGTACTACATTACATATTGAACAAGATTTATTAATCAAATTCCTCCCAACGATCAACATTGCTCTCATCAAACCACAGAAATCTTGAACCAAATTCCCCGCCCACCCCCACTTTGATCTGTCTTTCTGCCCGTTCTTCTGTTTTCTCTAAGGTAGCAGTTTTTTTATTTTTACTAGGCTTAATCAAAATAGTAAAATACAACGTAACACACCAAACCAGAGTATACATACATTTTTATTTTTGCCCATTCCCCCTCTTCACTCTCACACACACACACCCTCTAACTATTTTCTTGTTTTCCCGTTTCAAGAAACACTCCAAGTTTTCTCTTCTGAGCTTCAACATCCTCAAAATCCTCGTCCTCAAATTTGCTTATTAGAGACAGGTACTCAACATTTTCTCGAAAAATCTTGACCAGAACCAAATAAAGAGAGACGGTAAAAACTGTGATGCCAACTAAATACCAACTAAATTGGATATTTACTAGTGACTTTGCTCTTTCTAGGGCTTCATTATTATGGCATCTAACCACTTTATGACCATCTTCCAAGTTCAAAAAACAACCTTTTGGGATAAAATCTGGAGTCCAAAGCATAATACCTATAACCATAAGCCAAATTCCTTGAAACATAATGCTATAAGATCTCACAAAACTGTTCAAGAAACTCTTGGGGAAAGGAATGCTCAAAAGGGTAGTGGCTAAAGATGCAAAAATGACAAATTGGAGAAGCCAATGGTACTGTCCTTCAACACCTGTATGGTCAGTAGAATGAAGATGGAAGAGAAGAAGTTCTTGGCCAAATGCAACAGCTCCAAGAAATAGTGTGAGCCCATATTTGGCTGCGGTTGAAGGGATATTGATTTTGTCAAAGATTATTGAAAAGACTGCATAGACAAAGAAAGTAAGGGATATATTTGCATGTTCAAAATTATGGAGATGATAAGAAGGAATAGTTCCATCAGAGTCCAGAGGTTGGTGTTTTGATGGACCAATGAAGAGTTCCATTGATATGGAGGCTAAGGTGCCACCCATAATGAAGAAAAGCTCGGCATACCTGATTTTAAAAGTACAATGAGTTAAGTGCTAAAAATTATAAACATGAACTCATCAAAATTAAATTCTAAAATTGCGCTATGAATAATCAAGAAAAGCTCTAAAATACTTGACCTCAAATGTACAATGAGTTATGTGCGTTAAAACTTTTAAAGATTGAATTCATCAAATTTTAATCCTAAAATAGCTTTGAATAATTAAGAAATGTTCTAAATACCTAATTTAATTCAAATATATAATGAGTTAAGTGATAAAATAAATTTCAAATTTACTCATCAAATTTAAATCCTGAAATTACTCTCAATAATCAAGAAAAATTCTAATATATATCTTGCTTTCAAAAGTGTAGTAAGTTGAGTGCTACAAGTCGAACTCATCAAATTAAATCTTGAAACTACTCAGAATAATGAAGAAAAGTTCTAAATACCTGCTTTTTGGTGCTGGGAACCATATCAAAGAAGTGTAGGATTTTGGGTTCAGAGCATGTAATTTTATGTGGTTGAGCAAATGCCAAATACCAATAAGAAAGAAACCAAAACCTGGTATTACGTGCCCTATCAATGAGCCCATTTTTTGAGTTATCACAAATACTTTATTTATTAGTCTTGGATGAGATGAAATGAGGGAAAAGCGAGAACATTATATAGATGGCTAAGGAATCATGACGTACTTTATTTCCATTTATTTTATTTTAAAAGATTTTTATTAGTACAAACTTGACAAGGAACCATGGATGTGGCGTGGTGGATATCATAGATGAGATCCCTCTATCGTTAATGTTATCGGATTTGAGTCGTAAAAATAAAGAAGCTCGTGATAGACAATACTTTCCTTTTAATGAGTCACATATTCGTATTAGTTTTGCCAGTCGGTTATAATTAAAATTATAAATTATAAATAAGCGTAAAAAGAAATCCTAGGAAAATGTTGCGTGCGAACTCTTTTTTTTCCTTCTATTTGTTTGAGAGTAAAAGATGTTTTGAAACTCATATACAATTTTTTCTCAAAAGCTTATTTTGAAAAATCACTGAAACCAAATCTAAAGTACATTGTAAGCCTCCAAAAGGCTGTTTTCTCCATCTCATTAAGCTCAAACTTGCACGTTAACTTCATGCACAATCAAATCCACGAGAATTTGGTACATGCATTCAACATATGAGATTTAGAGTTTTAATATAAAAGTAACAATAGTGTTTCTATCAAACAACAGTTCATTATTTTTACTTGAATTTATACTTTGATGCATTTATTGAAGCATTATGTACTACTAAACAACAATGAAAAGTAATTAAAGAAAGAAATGTGCTTCGATATAATATTGAGAGCTAATTAAGCTAAGTACTTGAGCTGGAGGTTAGGAATTTGTTCTAATTTTCTTTTATCTTATTTGCATTTATTCTTTTACTTGAAGGAAGAGTAGAATATTAACCATAATTGTTTTACTTTTCTTTAAAGAAAAATATAGATCTCTTCCGGTGGCGGAGCCAGAATTTTCATCAAGTGAGGTCAAAATATAAAGAAATAAACNTATATATATATATTATTTTTTCAAAAATATTACCTAACTACATAGTGTAATTTTTTGACTAAGGGGTGTCGGTTGACACCCCTTGAATGCATATGGCTCCGCTACTAATCTCTTCCATTTTTGATAGATTCATTTCTTGGAGAAAAATGTTGTGACCTCTATAAATCGTGGATATGTCCTTCACAGGAAAAACACAATAATAGCATTTACAATGTAGCTCTTAAAAGAGTTTTGCTTAGGGAAAAAACTTATTTTCTCAATATGTTTTTCTCTTTTATACTAATAGATTGATGTAGGTCACTTGACCAAACTATATTAAATTATCATGCATTTTTAGTATAATTTGCTTTGCTAGCTTTCGCTTGACGTCTTGTTATTTTTAATCCCAACATTGGATGTGTATTTTTTTTTAGTTTCCCACCCGATGTCCGGTATCTTATCCGAATTCGCGCCGCGTAAGGCCCCATTCGGGGGCAAGCGTTCCCTGCCAAGGATTTTTTCATACCTGGGACTCGAACCCGAGACCTTTGGTTAAGAGAAGAGTAGTCACATCCACCGCACCACATCCTTTGGTGGTGATGTGTATGTTATTTATATTGGTGAAAGGAGTGAAATTCCTTTTCCCCTTCCTCTCTAAAGCAATGTTTAATTTGCCTTTTAAATTACCAATTTTCTTTGTATGCGATTTCTTAAAATTATAATGTTTTAATTTGTTTTCTCAGCTTTAGTATTTTATCTATGATACAGATAATTAATGACATATTTTATTTAAGTTACGATATTCAAGATAAATTGCTAAAAAATTTCATCAAAACACTATAGAATTTGTTAATACTACTATTGTTAATCTTTAATACAAGTGCTTTTTCTGAAATATATTTTCAATCTCCAAATGTAAACACCGGAAAACTTTTTCTATGGAAGTGTCATTCGAAAAGTAAGTCGTTTATTTTCCGTAAACACATTTAACTTCTTTTCTTTTAAATTTTTCAGCACTGAAGGAGCCCCTCCGGAGTCTGTACACATCCCCAGTGAGCGCAGGTACCTACTGAGTGCGAGTGCCGAGTGCTGAGTGACTGGGAGGCAAGAGCGATTGTGAGGTATGCCCGAGTGGCAAGAGTGATTGTGAAGTATGCCCTAGTGGCACGAGTGATTGTGAGGTTTGCCCGAGGAGCTGTATATGAGTGATGTTTTGCCCGAGGGGCTGTTTATGATTTTATCATTTTTGCTCACCTTTGCATTGAGCCTTTGTTTGAAAAACTATTGGAAAAATGTCTTTAAATAATTTTTATTGGAACTGGGTTTAAACTAGATAATTTGATTCAAATCCTGATTTTTAAAAAGCATGTGGTATTTTACTGAGATTTCCTGATATGAACGTTATATGCTTTATTGCTCGTCACTACTGCTCAGTCTTTATTTATTGTTGTACTTACTGAGTTGGCGTACTGACATTACTCCCTGCACCTTGTGTGCAGATTTAGGTATAGCTGGACACGGTAGCGGTTATTGAGTGTTCTGGTTACAGATTTTCTTGGAGATAGCAAGGTAGTTGTTTGGCTATCGCAGCCCCTGCTCTTCTCCCTCTTATCTTCCTCTAGTTGTATTTAGCTATTCTCCGGGCTGAGTTAGCCTTGATATTGTTAGACAGATTGTAAGTATATGCTCATGACTAGTGATACCCCGATGTCGGGCTTTTCTTTTCCACACTTCTATTTTTCTTTTATTTGAACTCTTTAAATGGAGGTTTTATGTTAAATACCTCATATTTTGAATAGAGGTTTCCTTCTTTTCACATATCGGTAAGGGTTTGATTTCTCACCTTGTAATTCCTTCTCTATTTCCCCTTCCCCTCCCTTATATGTACAGTAAAAAGTAAAAAATAAATAAAGAAAAAAGACCCTCCCATACATATAATTAATAAGCCAGGAATAAAATAGATCCTTAAGATACTACAGAAGAAATAGTCTCATAACTTGTATATCAACGAACCTGCCATACTTTTATAGTGACAAGACATGCCTTTGTTGTTGGGATTTAGACAAATAAAAGTAGCAGCTTGCAAGAAAATGCCATCTTTGTTTTGGTTACTCGACATGATATGTTATTTGTGATTTGCGGAAATTTCCTTAGTTTATGTACGTCACATTCGCTTGTTGAAGTGGACTTCATTTACTGTAAACCATATATCTCATGCTCTTTCCTAAACTTATAGACACACTCTTCAAGAGATATTCCACATAAAATAATTTTGGTGTCTCTTGTGTTTGGCTGTGTCACAACACCAAATCCCACTAAAGATCGTGATGGCGTCAAACCCCGTTTGTTAGGCAAGCCAACTGTCACGACTCAATTTAGGATCATGACCGGCACTTAAGAGCAAGTGCTCCCAAGTAAGCCTCATCGGTATTTTATAGAAAATCGGATAGAGTTTCCCCTGTTTTTGGACTATCCCAAAAATTTCCTATTCTCAAATCAATAATCAACATCCTAATATCAATTCAAACAACAATAACTTTATCAATTAACCAAAACAAATATCTACCATTAATAGTTCACCCACTAATAGTTAAAAATACTAATTTATCTCCAACTTTGATAAGAATGAACGATACTCAACATAAGTCTATAATAACAAAAGAATACTCATGACACTAAAAGAATGACTATGGAGCGACTCTAAGAGTTCAAAGAAAAGACCATAACAATAAATAAAATTTTTGCCCCCACGAACAAGTGTGAGGCTCACCAAGAACTATCAACCTGTGCGCTCTAATTAACGAAATCCTCGCCCGCGTTAACTGTTGTCTCTGTAAAAATAATTAGCGGGGAATGAGTCGCTAGCTCAGTGAGTAATAACACTTAACCACAACTGTTTTTATTGGGGACAAGTCAGAAAACATGATAGTATATATATTAAACAGAAAATATCATAAGAATACCCTTTCAGAAACAATAAAAAATAATCAGTCTCATCATGTTTTTCATGTAATATAAATCAATTGACAATTCGGTAATAAGCTCGGTAAATACTGTGTAATATCAATATTCATGTTTGGGAGGTTTTAATGGACGGATCATGTAATCGGTATAACTGTGGACTTCTTCGCAAGAAGTCAAATATAACAGTAGTCCCTACTCGAGGGAAATCAGTAATGGTACGCTAGTTCTACTTTTCCACTAGCGAGGGATGTAACAGTAATCGGTAATTACAAGGTACACCAGGTCTAACGAACCCGCCATTAGCTATGGGATCCTTCAAAGTCTACTCCCATTTATACTTGTCTCTCTAATCTGTCTATACTCATAAGAAAATATTTTAAAATAATATAGGGCATTTCGGTTCTTATCAAATCATGTAATTTTATTTCGATAACCGTAAATTCAAGTAACAGTAAAACATATCTAGTGACAACAAGAATATTTAAAACAACGGTAATCATCTCAAATAACTATTTCGGTATCATATCGAGTAAAAGACTTGTCCCACATGCAACTCAAATTAATCGGTAACATATTCATATTAAAAATTATGTATAAATCATACAAGTTATAAAAATACAAATTGCGGTAAGATTACTACTCACAGTACTCATGTGAAATACCAATCTCATTACCTCGAGCGATCCGTACGACTTTTTTCAATCAATCTATAACCACATCAACATCGATCTCGTGTTAATTGCCTCATTTAGGCTAAATTCATCACTAATTTAGAATACCCAATCCTCCGAGTTTTATATTTGGCTCTTAATTCTTCGAATTATATTTACCCAATAATTTCTTTTATTCTACTTGAAATATCAAGACCTATTTCAGTATCCCAACTCACAGCTATAAAATTCCATTGTAATCGTTTTTTCAAAATCACTAATATTAGTAGCAATCATATTTGGTTACCGATCACTAATAAAACGGAAAAGTTTCTAAAGGAATATCCTTTTTTATTGGTATATATACAAATATATAAGTTTACAACCCCAAACATATAGTATATTCACCAATTCATGAAAAATTTCATGGACTCTATTATTTCATAAATATTAATTCTTCAACTAACTCTCAACCCCAACTCTATAGCCATTGAAT